CCAAGGGTACCCCTCTGTATGCTGATTAATCAACACTTCCAATCGCTGTGGATTTACCGTTGTGGATTATATGACTTTTTCCAATGGATTACAGACTCTGTTTCCAAGGGGTTAAAGCATTGCTACAATGGAATTATCGAGACGATATGGAATTATAATCAACACAATGGAATACCAAGAACATTGTGGAATTACCTTGACTTTGTTTCCTTGCTGGATTACTTCTGACTTTGGTCTTCCTTGCTGGATTACTTTTGACTTTGGTCTTCCTTGCTGGATTACATCAAGCTCAAGGACATTTGAAGGTCTAAGTTCACGGTTGGAATTCATCCCCATGGACAGGTGATGATTTCCAAAGGGGGGACTGTAGTGAACCTGATCTGACCCTGATCTGACCCTGATGACCTCAAATCTATCAGATGGACAGAGACTGTTATGTTCATTGATCTGAATACAGTCTGAGCCATCTGGTGACTTTCTTTCTTGAATTAATCAAGCAGAAAAGACAATTTTTATAATCATCACTGTTTTACAAATGTCTAATAATCAAATTGTGTTAGTTCCATTCAATGCTTACAGGTTGGAAAGAACTACTCATTTTTATTTTACATAAACAGTAAGTAATGATTTTTATTCCTCATTCAAAGAAGAAATCAGGTTAATATGCATTTCTTGATTCTCTGTCTGAAATGAGCCAAACAATGTAAGTATGTGAAAGGTCGAGTCTTGGTCAACTAAAATGTTTACTGAGAAGAAATGTCATGTTTTACTATTTGAGAAGATACAACAGCATGAGACTCCACGAAGTCTGGTCGTCTGCAATAATCTTTTCTGTATGTTGAAAACAATCCTTGACTTATGATAACATCTTACATCACAAAAACACACCTCTTTCTGGTCCATCCACGAATCAGAAAGCTCTAAATTGAACCGGAAGTCGACCCATTTAAAATGTGGCAACTTCCCAGTTCATGTTAGAATTCAAGAAGAACTGAGAATGGAAAAGAATTCCAGAGATGAAGAACTACAGAGTTGCTGACAATTAAGAATCTGAAAAGTTCTGAAGAATGAAAGGAGTTCAGAATTCTTGGGTGCAAACGCATTCAAGACGATCCAGAGACGTTTTGGGATTATAACTTCTGTTTGAACAAACCACACACGACTATCTAAGGATTTCAGCTGCTCTCAACGGAGACGCTGAAAGGTCTGGAGGATTCTCTATCGAGCTGATCTATCATCAACCAGGTAACGGTCTCTTCTTCGACTAAAGTGTACCGAAGGCGAGCTGAGATCTGATGAAGCGTGCACGTTCTGGTCAAACAGATTAATTCCCTCACATAGTTCTCTGTAAGATAACTCCATTTCATCTTAAAACTCTTCTCTTCCTCATAAAATCAGTACAGATATTTTAGAAATATCTGAAGCAAAGTCCTCGATCACCGCCGAGTGATTCGAAGCTCATTTTCTGTGAAACTTGTCTGTTATTATTTTCATATTTTGCCAAATTAATGTAAATGTTTGATGTTAAACTTTGATTCTGAAAATAAATGACCGCATTCATTTTGATGGGTCAAAGATAAATGACGTCTCTCGTTACATTTTTGTTAAAATTCAATGCACGACATTACACAGTCAGAAAGATGAGGAACTCGTGAAAAAGTATGCATATATACGGGGATATATTGTCATACTACAACTAGTGACACGTACCCACGTGACTCACTACACTTAATTACACACATTTGAGTAGATGTAATAAATTACTTTAATTCCTGTTTAAATGCAATTCATCCTGCCATACCTGCAGTGTCTTCAGACTTTGCCAGCAAATTAAAAGTTGAAGCTTACTCATTAAATTATTATCTTTGTGTTAGATTTATTTATAAATCACATTTAAACACTGCGTGTACCAATTAAATTAAATAAAAAGTAACACACGTTCTCTATCACCGCCATTAATCAGATAAACAAACAAACAAACAAACAGCTTCAGCTACAGACAGACTGACGTTACGTTTTCTCTCTTGAAACAGAACAATGTGTTAAATTGTAGAGACTCACCTGCAACACGAGTTGGGAGTGAAACATGTATCAGCTGCAGCTCCTTCCTCCTCCTCGTGACTCTGTCATGTTTATGGTTTATCTCCGTGGTTCTCCCGTGTCGTGTCGGCGATTTTCAAAGCGGCATGTTTCTCATTTTTTATCTTTGTGAAGAGCTCCCACACTTTGGAGGACTTGGGTCAAACAGTTTTCGCTGCGTTGCTCATTTGTAAAATTTACTTAATTTCCTTTGAAAACACTCTGCTCTGCTTCCTCCTCCCCCCTCGCTCTGTTCAACTCGCGCTGCAGTTTTTTTTTTTTTTTCCCAAACTTTATTCAGTCAGTCAGCATTGACCATGAACTGCAGGTGAACGAAACGAAACGGCTCCGCAGCGCCGTGAAAGACGTATAATCACGCGACACAACGAATCGATAACGAAATTCGTTGCCAACGCTTTTAATAATCGATTTTTATCGATTTTATCGATTCGTTGTTGCAGCCCTAGACTGATCACCCTCCTGACACTGAACAACTTACACAATATTACTCTGCGCCGGGGGACTGGATCTTTGGGATGAACCAGTCTTTGCCGTAATGTATTTTGGGGTTTAAAAACCACTGGGACGTTATGTTTATGACTGAGCTGAATACAGCACCTCAGACTGAGGAAGTCTTTCAGATGAAAGACGAAACGTTTCTACAATTTTATTATTATTATTTTTTTAATGTCCAGAGGACCAGATTTAACTTTTTTAGACTTTTCTACCTGGATTATTGAGCATGCATCAGGATATTTATCTGGTTTTGTTCTGTCTAAAGATTATTTAGGCATCTTATCAACTTAAGCATGCATACAGGAGAGCTTGAAACATCAGGACGTAAGTCATGTGTAAAAGGACAAAAAGTGTCTCAAGCTTCTTCTGTATTTGCATTCGTCACAGATTTTCTGCTGAACTTCTGCTCTCGCAGCATAAAACACGAGGGTTAAAAGCATTTGTTTGATCAAAAACAGCACATGATGCAGAGAATATGGTGCAAAGCTGCCACGTTTCATTTCACAGCAGAGTGAGAGTAAGTACAGGTTTCTGATAACTCTTCTTGTTTGCAGTAAATGTTTTGGAGGATTCTTGTCTTTGTTTGCACAGCGTCTCATCTACTGATCTCCAGACATTTATCTAAGAGGAGGGATGAAACAACATCTGACGTTCCCATAAGACAACGTCTAGAACACGTCTAGCAGGTGGTCAATATTTACAAAAACAGCACCACAAAGTGAGAGTACAAACGTTAGAACTGGGTTACCTTTCCTGAACTTGTGCGTTGGAATCTTCCTTAATTGCTCCTTGGTCAAACGATTTTTCGTCAGCCGTTTTCGGTGCTGCACACATCGTATAACCTGAGCATTGCAAAACAGAAACATTACTAACAGCGTTCATTTAAGGGAGGCGATTTAGAAAAATAGATTTGTATTGCCTTTCGCTTATCATGAACTTAAGTGAACAAATAAAGAATCTAAAAAAAAAACAATGGCTGCCTTGAGCTTTGTTGAAACACAATGAGGTCACTGTGTGATGTCGCCATGGTCCAAGTACAACACAAAGAAACAGTCATAGCCTCTCATCAGAATAACACATCCAGCTCTTTGTGCAGATGCTTACACCTCAAGCACCTTACAAACAAAACATCAAGCTTCAGTTAAATAAAAACTCTTGTGAAGGCATTTTTTTTAATTAAACTTTAGCATTCTTTAAGAGAATGTACACTGACGCCGCTTTTCAGTTTTACATCTTCTTGTAATACAAAAAAGTTGTAGCTGTTTTGGTCAAATCTAAAAATAACGTTATGTTCGATCTGATGTTACATTAACAGGCACCAGTGACCTGAAAAGGAAGAGGCGGGTAAAGTTACATTACGAGATGTCACGCTCACATTATGTGTTGGGGATGACTCACAACTATGACCACACCAAATTTTTGCTCAATATCTGTAAGAGACTAAGATCCATTTTGTTGTTAATGGTTTGGGTGTGGCAGCCATCTTTATTCAAGCGGACTCCAAAAGATAATGAGCTGTAGATGTGCATGCAGTGATTACCCTTTTAAAAGTTTTATTAAAACATATCCAGTGGTTCATGAAATATTTTGCAAAAAGGATAAGACACAAATTAGCCCATCTTTGCATTTCAAAGAAAAAAAGAACACAATTATACATAAAAAAAAACAAACAGTAAACATACTTACCAAAATGACACACATCACAATAATAACCATCCCAACAACCGCAGTGAAAGGAATGAGGTAGTACGATATTGGAAAAGAAAACTCTGGCTTGAGGATCACGTAGGCCCTGCAGACCAAGAGTAAAAATTAAAAAAAAGAAGAAGAAAAGGGTTACCGGTGTTTGAATCAATAATCAGTATCTGTTTGGATCAAATCTAACGCTGACTGTTACTTGTTGGCTCTGTCTTTTTAAAAGTACTTCCTGCAGTATTATGTTCTAATAAATGTACTTTTGCTCACCCAACTTCTGGAATTATGAACTCTTTGAGCATCTTTGAAGCGTAGTTGCTGGTGAAAACAGAGGGGATCTGAATCTGGTCTGCTATAGTTTCTGAAAATATATATAAATTCACATTTAACATTTACCTGCAAATTGTATTTAATCCCTTAGTAGGATGACGTAATGTTATAATTAATACCCTATATTTTATAACACTTACCATTGCTGTAGTTCATGCTGAGAAGCATGTCCGAGTGCACGTTGTGAACGATTGCAGCGCTATATCCAGCTTGCTGTGCGTTCAAAACCTAAAACCATTTCACTGCATTAGCCAAGTCTGTAACACCGATCAATTCGTCCATTTCAAACGCTACTGACCTTTATATCAAAATTGCAACTGAGGCGTTTGATGAGAACAATAAATTTGGTGGCGTTGGCGTTATTTATGGTTAGATTCTTAGGAGGCGGGTCCATTGTTGTGCATCCATTCAGGGGCTTGGACACCACTAAAACTCCCTTTAATATAGAGCAAAAACATTGTTATAAAGAAATACAAACGATGATTTGTTTTCTGCATGTAGTCTTTCTTCAGAAATCTGCTCTCACCATCAAACCTTCTGTAGGAAGTGAAGGTCCAAAAAGAGAAGGTAGGTCCTCAAACAATAAGGAAGTCATGTTGTGAAAATGCTGCCAAAAGAACATGTGCATAGGTTAGTTAGAACCAAACATGAAAAACCACTTCACAAACCATCTCTCATTCAAAAGTACAATTTTACTTACAGCATAGATATATCCATGTGTGGGTGAAGGGATCAATATGCTGCAGAAAACCAGAATGAGGACATTCAGCTGAGTCCCCAGGCGCCACACACCAAGGTGGACCATCCTCGGTTGCTTCCAGTTCCTCTAATATGTGGAAAAGACAAAACATCAAAACACCAACAGGAATGCTAACTGGACTGTACTTGTATAGCGCCGTTCTCATTTACCCATTCATACAGCACTCTACTAGATCTCTACAAAGACTAATCTGTGCTTTATCACATTCATACACATATGGGACACACACCGGAGGCAATGGGGTGTTCAGTGTCTTGCCCAGGGACACTTGGGCATGTGACTGCTGGTGGAATCAAACTCCCAACTCTTGCACTGAAGGACGACTGCTCTAACCACTCAGCCACAGCCGCCCTGGTTTGGAATCAGTGTATAATGCCAACAAGAAGAGACCTGTCAGTTTCAAAATGTATTTTTGTTTGTTTCAGTAAAATATGTGATAATCTAATCACAAAATAAAATCCAAGTGGGATTATTTGTGAATGAATCAAACTGCAAAATAAATTTTCTGTCCTCCAGCTAACTATTTCAGGAAGTGGTTCTTGTAGTGGCAGCACGGTGGCTCAATTGGTAGAGCTGTTGCATCTCAGCGAGAAGGTCACCGGATCGAATCCTGGACCGGGACCTTTCTGGGTAGAGTTTGCATGTTCTCTTTGAGAATGTGTGGATTTTCTCCAGGTACTCCGGTTTCTTCCCACAGACCAAAAACATGCATGTTAGGCTGATTGGTAACTCTAAATTGTTCCTAGGTGTGAGTGAGCGAGTGAATGGTTGTTTGTCTCGTTTGTCTCTATGTGTCCCTGTGATGGACTGGAGACCTGTCCAGGGTGTCCCCCGCCTCTTACACAGTGATTGCTGGACATGGGCACCAGTGACCCCCGCGACCCAAAATGGAACAAACGGGTAAAGATAATGGATGGATGGTTCTTGTAGTTTCTTAAATTGGAAAACCAGCGCAAACAGACAATTTAGGTGGTACATAAACAAGCAGATTATTTCTAAGACTGTTTATAACAATGCCAAATTATTCTCTAAACTTTTGTCTTAACAAATAAAAAAAGAATGTTTCTATTAAATACTCAATGTGAACAGATCAACTGTGTATTCAATCTGCAAAGAAACAGAGAGAACTACTAGATGTGGGTAATTAAACAAATCAAAATTAAACTGAACAATTATTTACCAGTTAATCTTGCTTAAACACATTGTTTCTGTTTCAGATGACAAACTATGTTGGGTTAATATTTTAACGTAGAGATTGGACTTAATATGGGAAATTATATTTGGATTATCGTCAGTTAAATTTATTTTATGAAATCTGATGTGGATTAATTAACACCTTTACAGTTTGAGCAGTTTAAAACAGGATAAACTACTAGATTAATCCTGCGTTCAGGCCAGCTTTTTGTGTTGTTAATCTCTGCATTTCCTGTTTCAACTATTGCAATCTGACAAATCTGATAACTCCCGAATGGAAGCGAATATTTTCTCAATAAATCCAGCTAAAACTCCGCTAAAATCACGAAGCGTGTTTGTTTTTATTACTTACCTTTAATATTCGCTAATATCCGCATACACGGACAAACAGAGACAGGGTGGGGTGTAAATCGAAACTCCAGTCGTGTAACTTGTTACTTAAATGTTTGGTTCTTTTATCTCTTAAAAATGTTCAGCTATTTTCACGAGTTATGCATTTCCATGTTAAAAACAAAAGAAGGTTAGCGCTATAGTTAGCTGACTTTTGGCTAATGTTAGCGGTTGTTAGATAGCAGGTTAAGACGTCTTTTCTGTCACCACTGTACAATGTTTGTTACTACGCTTTTTAGTGTAGCATTCAACAATAATACAAGTTAAATTTACACACCTTCAGTGAGCTCGATATTGGTTTGTTTGTTTGCTAATCTTTCATTCTTCTTCTCTTTGACTTTAATCGGTCGCTAATAAAAGAGGAACCCGCGCATTACCGCCACCTACTGGTCGGATCCAGAATGACACTTGGTTCACTGCTCTACCTCACATTAAAATGGATTAAATTAAAATCTTTCTGACAAGTTCAGTGCTAAATATAGCAAAGCAAGGTTCACTTTAATTTTTTTTCTGGAATACCTGTAAAATAAACTCTACTCATTGGATGTCTGTATGATTAAAATCCATTGCTTCAGAATCGTTTTTTTACATCAGCTTATCCTCTTTCACTTATTTCGGTGCATTTCTAATGCTCAATTTCTCTAATTTAAGTTAAAAATCAACAACGATTTTTATGTGTCATCTTTTTTGTTGCACCTTGCAGATGCTTGTGGTTTCTTACCTTTTATAATACTTACAAATCAAGAATTGAGCTTTTATGATCACAATTATGACACTACAAAGTACCTTATAAAAAAAGTGATCCTCACCATGTGAAGCTTAAAAACATTTTGTTGTAACTTTAAACAGGGTTCATCTGCTGTCTGGCTGACTATTAAGCAGCCAATGAAGCTATAGTCTGAACAAAATATTATTTTTGACGGTCTTGTATCTTCAGTCCACTTTAGAGTATACAGTATAACTTGCATAGCATTTTTCCTGTGTACTTTTATAATACCTCACTGACCCTTTCTCTACTCTCAAGCAACATTGTTTTTTATTAGGGAAAACTTTTGATGCCTCTGTCATATAAACTCAGCACAAAAAGTAAGGAAATTTGTTTTTGGTTAATTATTTCTTTGCTGTAACAATGCTTCTTAACAATAGATTTTATACCACTAGAAAGCCTTTTCACCTCCCCTAAATAATGTCAGTTTCTGTCCTCCAGTGGAACCAGACGTGTCTCCCTGCCCCCCACCCCACCCCACCCCACCCCACCCGCTTCCCTGTTGCACTCTTTTGTCCTGTGAACCCTTAAAAAGCCTCTTTTTAGTTTTTTTTTTCTGCATACCTCTTAATTCGAAGGATCAGCTGGTCTCTCAACAAAATCGATCAACTTCTCCCGACAGGAGTCAGGGCATAAGGAGGACCCTCTTACCTCAACGGAAACAAATTGGATTCATGATGACAACTGGTTATTTTGCTGTTTGGCTGGTGAATTCTGGATTGTCTATAAATTTGTCTGGATGTGTCGAATCTCGACAGCACTCAGACTGAATTTGTGGAGCTGCAGCAGGGAGCTGGAGCAGCTGTTATCAGGACTGCAGACTCTCTAGCAGCACACATGAAGGGGAAATAATCTTGGAGAAGCAGTGAGCTCGACTTTTGGCGTAAAGAATCAATTTGGCTGTTTTGGAGTTCTATCAGAGGAATGCATACCAGCGAGACTTTAAAAAGGCAGAAACAATTTCACGAGTTCTGCCTGACCCAAACTGTGGCCTTGACGCCGGACTTATCTCAACTCCTCCTGGAATGTTTTGAAAACAACAAAGATGCTTTGACTGTCTCCTCACCCCTCCCTTCCCCAAGGCCGTGGACATGTGACAGAACCTCAACTGAACTGATGATGAATAACACCGCTTATCTGGACAATGGCTGAGAGGGGGGGCTCTGGACTATACTATGACTTCCCCTTAAAAATTCTATGTTTTCACCGGCCTATATGTACATGTGTAATGTATATTTACGTTGCTTTGCTGTGGTAGTTTTTTTTTTTTATGCCTCAAATCGTGCCCTGTCTAGGACACGGCGTGAGAGATCTTTTTTTTTAATACCATTTCTCCTCATGTTTTCTTCCCTTTTCTCATCTAAGCAAAATATTATTCTGAATAAGAAAAAGAGGGCCGCGCTTTTTTTTATAGTTGCAGCTTCGTGCACTCCGCCCATCTTTCGAACGACTGTACATACATGTTCGCGTTGTATCTTGGTGCAATGCCAATAAAGTTTATTCTGATTCTGATTTTAGGAAAATGTATGTGTGTGTTGAGCAGGAGAGTTGAATATGGGTTGCACTCATGAAAAACTAGACAACATGCCTAACTGCTTATTTGGCCATTGACTCTTGTTTGTGCTGTTTATTAATTGAAGCGTTGAGAAAATAGACATCCTGGTAATTTAACAATGTGTTTGTGTAAAAAATAGGGGCCTCAGTAGCATGTGGAAGAACCATACACTGCCACAACCGCCTGACACCTGCTGCTGCTTACCAGCTTGGTCATTTCATCCCTACTGACCACCAGAGGGTGGTGCTGAAAGCAATGGATGTTCCTTTAATGCCTTCACCGTTCGAGTATTAACACCAACAGAGTTGCAGCTGTGATGTGCGATCAATCAGGGGCTATGTAGCCTGGTGTCGTCTGAGGCTCTGCTCCTTTTTTCTTCTTGTGTACAGTTCATTTTGCATGGCATCAGCCTTTTTGACCTTGTACCATTTCACCTTCATCCGACGCCTGATTGCCTGTTGGCTGGAGTAGCAGTGTATTGCCCTCCTAGGGGCTGCGACGGGCTAGTCTTCGTTTAAGATATTTCTGCTGGTTGTTGAGGATGACAGCATTTGAGCCTCCTCTCCCAGTTCACTGCGTCTGACTGTTGTGATACACACATTGTTACTCAGTAGTGTAACAAATTACAAATACTCACATTATTGTAATTAAGTAGATTTTTTTGAGTACTTGTACTTTTATGAGTATTTCTTTCAAGTGTGTAATTTTACTCAAACTTGAGTACAATTTAGACCATGTAATCTACTTCACTACTTTTAAAATCAGAAGTCACTACTGAGTACGGCTGCAACTTGAATTTATATTCAAACCATTCATTTGTATCTTTGTAGCCAATAAGGCTCTCAGATCATGAACACACCAGTTACCTATGACATAAGCAAAGAACAACTTTGTAGAGTAGAGAATCATTTATGGACCAAAGATTTGGAGAAAAAGCCAAAATGGAGACAGAGGACAACACTGCCAACAGAGAAAATTACAAGGTAAAGGCTGAGGATGAGTGCCCATGGCCATACCTGGAGGAATGTTTCATGTACAGAGGGCAAAAAGAAGACAGCATCCAGATGCAAACTTTGTTTGATCTCTACGTTTATAGCAGCTTACAAGACTTCAGCATCTAATCTCAAAATACATATTGCAGTATACAAGGTTTTACA